TATGATTGTTGGGTTTTTCTCTGTATCTATGAAGCGCCTTGAGGCGACTTTTGTTGTGATTTGGCGCTATATAAATAAAATTGAATTGAATTGAATTGATGGTTCAACATTATGACTCCATAATAAAACTCTGATGCTTAAACTCCACAGACGAAGAGTAACAACTGTAGCTGACTGGAGTTGGGCCGTTTTAATTTCTATACAGAGTCCGCTTGTTCAAAGACAGGAAAGTACGGGGACAACATGTGAGAGCAAACACATCATTAGCATTAACATGGAGCCTTTTCATGCTATATAATGTGCACATATACAAGCCTAAAAGCTCTCAGCCCCCACCTGCTCTCTAACTTGTTGCTCCTGCCGCCCGGTGTCACCGTCACTCTGTCAGTAATTATTGAAGAGAATTCCTTTTTTTGGGAAAATCACATAATAAAGCAAATGCAGAGACATTATTTGGATATAAAGGCTTTATTTAAAAATACTGGTGGTGACCAGCGCTACCCCTCAGCCTCCAAGTAGACACGCCTATGGTATCATTTTGAAAATCCTACGTGACTTCTTTCTTGAGTTACTGTGTTCACAAAGTTGGTGAGAATACAAAACTATGAACTATGAAAACTCCATAAACTGTAGAAATGACTAAATACAGCATTATCTAGCCTTTAAATGTGACAGTATGCATTTACTGGGACTTTCATTTGTTTGGTTCTGGATTTTGTGCCTCTGTTCAGACAGACTGGGAAACCTCTGCTGTGCACACGGTAACTCCTGTTTTCACTCGGGCTTCACTCCGGTTCAGTTTTGATTTACTCCAAATATCATCAAAGTCTCTTTCATTCCTTTAACTGGCAGGCGAGTGTCAGATGTTGGACGGGTGAAGCTGTAGCAGCAGGTAAGGAATGATAAGTGAAGGAGACGTGACTGGGAGAAAAAGCCGTCCGTCTACTCTTGGCACAGTGGCACCAGAGCTGCAGATGAGGGGAGGAGAAGTGGGTCCTCTCTGGGTGTTGGAGATGAGTCTCTGCCTGTTCCAAACTGACGTCTGGCAGCACTCTCAGGAGGGCGTGCTTCTAAGACACTGAGTCTTTTCATCATGCTTTCCAATGTGGATCTTAAGCCAGCGCATCCTTTGCACTCTTAGGCGAAACTGCTGCGCCTCGATGGCAACGAACTGACTCCTTCTGTCACAAAGTTGTTGGACATAAAGTTGTTTTTGAGTCCACTCCTTTTCCTGTGCTGATGGCGACAAACAACAAGTAGTAGTGTCATTTATGTCACGTGTAAAAACGTGTTTTTTTATTATGATTTTTAGAGCAGACCACAGAGGTTTGATCTTGGTTTGTGAAAACTTCCATTCTTCGAATGAGGAGTAAAAAGAATGCATGAGAGAAGATATGCAAAAGCAAACATTTGTTTGCAATGTACAGGCTCATAGTGTCAACACCAGTCTGCTGTAGAGATGACCGACATCAGTAAGGACAACTCCTCACAGATCCAATGAGGCCAAGTGAAAAATTATTAGATTCAAAGGCCTTTTACAAGCCTGGTAATTAAAGTGTCACTGTGAACTGTTTACACTATAAGGAAAGATGATCCTGACAAACTAAAAAAAAGTAAGTAAGCAAAGTAAGCAACAACAAGCAGTAAATGGGAAAAGC